ATTCATTTATCAACTATTTGTATTGAGATTACAATTGATTAATTTACATGAGTAATAAAATAGCAAACTCAAAGGTTGTCTCAACTTATTGGAGATTTGGAGAAGATGGAGATACAAAGAGAGTTTTTCTCAAGTCAGACTCTTGGTGATAACCCATACAGATACTAATAGATTTGTTTTTAATACGTTACTTAATAAGTAAAATTTTTTTTGGTAATAATTAAGTTAATTATTGGGTTATGTCTAACAAAAAAAAAGATAATATACATATAACAACTAAAAAAATTTAGTTATTTTTAGTTATTATGGAAGTTGGGTTATGCGATTAATTTGGTGGGTGTGACCAATATCACCCATAATTAACTACATTGCATACAGGTAATGAATGAAATAAAACAGACATAAAACAGGAAAAGACACTACATCCACTCAAACCCACCCAACACACCCAGTCCCTTTGTTGGCAGTCTGTTGCCATTTTTCACAATATTTTAGCTGTTTCATCCACTTTTGAACCTGTTAAGTATGTTTGGATTAGTAGAACTTGTAATTGTAAGGCTCATGAAGTTGCCAAATGGCCATGGGTCCTTATCCTGACATTATGCTTGTTGCAGAGGTTGCTCCTCTAGCCTTTTAAATATATTATGGTAGTCTTTTCAGCGGAAAAAAAAAAAAAAAAACACAACCAGTCCCTGTCCTCTCTCCCCAACACACACACTCAAAACACCAAAAGAGATTTTTTGCTCCCTAACTCTTATTATTCTAATACTTTTATAAATGAGTTATCAACAGCATTTATGGATTTAAATGAAACACAAGAAAGACACACAAAAGTGAATTAAGTAGAAATTTTGTGGAGATAACAAAGGTCAGAAGAAGTAATATAGCATGCAATTAAAACAAAGGGACACAATTACCTTATGATGTTGTTCTGTTATTGCAGCTCCAACCACCCCTGTATAGAATGCAGAAGCATATAAAACGACAACTCTTGTAAACGTTTTTGGACGCCTATAATGTTCGATTGAGTCCCAGAAATACATCTTCTCCCATTTAGTGTGCAGGTATTCTGCGTATCGCTTCCATAAATTGGTTGCCATTTCTCTGAGATATGGATGTTCAGCTGTGTTAAATTAAACTCATAAAATAAATGCCAATTTTCAGATTTTGAAACTTCAAGAGGGAAAAAGAATAAGATAACATAAGAGACACAAACTAGATGTTTACTAGAATCAAGCAATACAAAATATTCTGTCTTTATTTATTTTAATATGAAGAGGGTTACCATGGTGAACAAATCTGAACCATACGACAGAATAATAAACTGAATAGGATTTCATGAGAAATACCAACACAAGAAAAAGGATAGGAAGTCTTACAGAAGATCTGCCAATATTCAATCTTCAAAATCTTTCCAAAACGCCTTCCAAACATACCCCAGATTGATCAGACTTTTCCTTGCATAATTGGTCAACCAAATCATAGAAAACTGAATTTCCAGGAGCATATCCCATCTCAAACATTGAACGTAAAATCAGCAAGGCATCATCCAGCAAATGATTAGACATGAGGCATTTAATTATCTCAATAAAAGTTGCTCGTAAGGGTCTCAACTTATTTTGTAACATCATTGCCAACCAGTTCATGCTTTCTGTAGCATTGCCCTGTTTGCAGAATGCCACGATTATATGGTCATGAGTATGGATGATTGGTTTGAGTTCCCTATGTAGCATATCATTCCACATATCCATCGCACACTGCACTTCTCCTAAATTACAAAAAGCTTCTATCAATGGGGCGTAGGAGGCAGCAGATGGTTGTAAACCGATGGCAAGGAGTTCATGATATAAGTTCAGGGCTTCATTTGTCTTGCCAAGCTTGCAAAAGCCTTTAACCATTGTATTGTAAGTAACAAGATCACGCCTAATTTCCATCTTTGGCATTTCTTCAAATAGTTCTCTCGCTTTATCCATATTTCCATCCATAAGAAACCCTGTGATTATTGTGTTGTAATGCGGCGTTGTTCTTCTGAGGCCACGATTAATCATCTCCTCCCAAAGCGTCCAAGCCTCCTCCATATTACCAATCTTAGAATATCCATTGATGAGCACATTATATGTGTTCTCATCTGGATGAAATCCACTACATATCATCTCAAACCAAAGCTTCCGAGCCATCCCCATCCTTCTCATCTTGCAAAGACCATCAATCATAATTGTATACAGAACTATACCGGGAGTATACCCTCTATCTTTCAGCTGATTAAAGATTCTGAACCCTTCATTTCCCATTCCATTCTTACAAAGCCAATAAATGATTTCCTGGTACAAAACAATGCTAGGGACAAGATTATTTGCTATCATAAGATGAAGAAGCTGAGAGACTTTGGTGTAATTCCTTTCCTTACAAAATGCAGCAATCAAATTAATGAACACAATGTCGTCTGGGACCATCCCCAATCCCAAAACTTGTCGAAGAAGCTCAAAAGCTTCAGGGAGCTTGTTATCTTTGCAAAATGATCTGATAAGACACCCAACAGTATCTACATCGGCAACCATACCAAAGTTCATCATTTCCCCATACAGTTCCCAAACAATATCCGTCCTCCCAGCCTGAAAAGAAGCCAACAATAAAGCATTCCATACCGCAAGAGATGGAGAGTGACCACAACTTGTCAATTGGGCCAGAACCTTTAAAGCTTCATTCACATCTCCATCTTCACTTAAACAAAGTACAAAAGATTCTAAAGAGCTTGGTTCAGGAACAAAATCCATGGAACTTATAAAAGATTGAGCAACCTTAGAGGCCTTGGCTTGT